CGGTGGTCGTTCTTCCTCTTGGCCATTTCTGCGCCTCTCTGTCATCTAGTGGGTTTGACTCACAGCCGGTTGTTGTCTTTCTTTTGAAGTCTGCTAGCCTGTAATTTTTTCCTTTGGTGACATAATTGTCCTTTTTCTACCTGCTGATGAAGATGCCAGAGCAGAACTGAATCATCAGTGACTCAGGAAGTTGAGCTCTGTCATTTGAATGATTTGGTTAATTTTTATTTAAAGGAAGGAAGAGAAGTCTTCAGGAGACCTGTTCTCCTGTTTGTGTCAGTGACAGGTGTTCACTTGACCATCTAGCTAAAAGTCCTGTTTTCAGTGACATTGCTCCATCATTTAAGATTTATTTTATTTTTATTGAAAAGATTTACAGAGAGACAGAGAGAAAGATCTTCCATCCACTGGTTCACTCCCCAAGTGGCCACAATGGCTGGAGCTGAGCCAATCTGAAGCCAGGAGCCAGGAGGAGCCGTTTCCAGGTCTCCCATGTGGGTGCAGGGTCCCAAGGCTTTGGGTGGTCCTCTACTATTTTCCCAGACCACAAGCCAGAAGCTCAAAGGGAAGTGAAGCAGCTGGGATATGAACCAGCATGGGATCCCAGTGTGTGCAAGATGAAGACTTTAGCCGCTAGGCTACTGTGCTGGGCCCTGTCTTTTTATTATTATTATTATTCCTTATTTCAAGTGCTTCAGAATTATGCCTCAGTATAATTTGGCATAATCACTAAAACATTTGATTTGCTGCTGTTTTTGCTTTCTACCCCTTCTTTGGAATATTGTTCACTTTCCAGTTTAACCCAAATTAGGATTGTCAGCATTGCAGCATAGCTCTTCCACATGGAAGTTCTCAACTCATTATCTGAGATAATCGACAGTTAAAGACACTTATCTCTAAAGAGCTGGAATAAGCTTGTGGTTAGGAAATGCTAAATTTCTGGATCCCCTTGTCATAAGGTCCATCACGAGATACCAGTACAGAGAGTCTGCCCTATAGATACATATTAGGCAACTGTGACTATAGAGTTGTGAAATCTTACGCTAAGTTTCTTGTTATCTTCTTGGGCACATAGCTCCCTCCTTTCTCTGATGTTTTGCTTTTGATCTTTAATTCTTCTGGTTTGGATTTATCAGGTTGTAGGTCATGCAGCTGGGAAGAGATATGTGCATATACATGCATACACACAGACACACACACAAACAATACAACTAGAACCTCACAATCATTTTTTTTAAGATTTATTTTTATTGGAAAGTCAGATATACAAAGGAGAAGAAGATCTTCTGCCCACTGATTCACTCCCAAATAGCTGCTAACAGCTCAAACTGAGCCATTCTGAAGCCAAGAGCCCAGAGCCTCTTTTAGGCCTCCCACATGGGTGCAGGGTCCCAAGGCTTTGGGCCATCCTTAACTGCTTTCCTTGGTCAGAAGCAGAGAGCTGGATGGGAAGTGGGGCTTTTGGGATAAAAATCAGCACCCATAAGGGATCCAGGCGCATGCAAGGTGAGGACTTTAGGCACTAGGCTACCATGCCCAGCCCTCAAAATCATTTTTTAAGGAAATAAAACTTCTCATACCCCCCAGTGAATGAAACACTAGAAATCTTTGAGTTCAATTTGGTGTAGCCACCTGTTTTATTCTGTTGACTTTTCTAGTCCATAGGGTCATGGTCAAGTCTGCATCTCCCCTACTCGTGTCCTTTGTCTAGTGGACTTTTTTCAAGAACAATGTTTTGTTTCATTTGTTGGAGCCTTCCCCGTTAGCTCATAAATTGACCTTATCCGTACAAACAATAACAGGAGCTATGTCTTCTAAAAGCTTTTGTCTTGGTCCAGTTTTAAAAATCATATTTCATGAATATCCGGATTCAGATATTTTATAATTCATTGCATCTGTATGTAATGTCTTCAGCTGTGGTTTGAAAATTTTATCAACCAAATGCTCGTATTAGGTTGCTTGTAGTTAAATAAAAAAGTAGATGCCCGGCGGCGGGGGGATGGGGGGGGTGGGGTTGGTCTTTAAAAAGTTTTTGGAAATACATTATGAAGCAATTGTACATGATTTTTTTTTACAACAAAAGAAACATAATTTTATTTTCTACAAACTTCTTGAAGTACCATCATACAAAAGAATAAAATACATGCAGATTGAGAAATACCCAAGTAATCAGTGAAGATGGCTGCTAGTGTCTGGTTAGGTATTTGGTACTTGGTAGACTTTATTTCTTTTTAACATGTTTATTTTTATTTGAAAGGCAGATTTATAGAAAGAGGAGAGACAGAGGGAAACTTCTCATCTGTTGGTTCACTCCCTAGAAGACTGAATTTAGAACTAGATTGATCCAAAGTAGGGAGCCTGTATCTTTCTCCAAGTCTACCACATCGATGCAGGGATCCAAGGAGTTAAGTCATCATTTGCACTTTCCCAGGCACATTAGCAGGGAGCTGTATCAAAGTGGAATAGCCGGGACTCAAACTGGCACCCATATAAGATGTAGGCACTACAGGCAGAGGCCTAACTTGCTGATATGCCACAGCACCATCCCCATTCAGAAGGTTTTTCGGTAACCATTCACTGAATAAGTGAAAATTCAGGAAGGTTTTAGTTTGGATGTCTCATTTTTTCTAACAAAAAATAAGGGAGAAAAAATATGTCCTGATAAATAAAATATTATTTCTTCTATTTTTATAAACCAAAAGACTAATATATTTTAGAAGACTTGTTCTCAGTCTGTACAATCATAACTCATAGAATTAGTAGAGAACTTGGATTTACATTTGTATTTGTCTGTTTTCTAAAAGTTCAGAGAATTATATTGGGCAAACTTATACTTCTCATCCTACAGCTAAAATCATTCACCTCTCCTAGTTAAAGATCAGAGGTGTTGTCTTAAGCTTCCCCTCTTTGTTTGGTGGTCTGAAGCTTCTCTTAGGCTTTCAGGAATCTTCATATGTGAGTATCCTTGCTAAAGGAAAGCTGGTATATGTATTCTCTCACTGTTTGCCTAATTGTGCTATTTTAGAGTTGTTTTGCTTAGTGGTGGCAAGTTCCTGTTTACTGGTCCTATTACCCGTCTTATATCTGGACTCAGCGTAATTCTTGGTTTCTGTTTGTTGTTTATGACAAGAACTTAAGCATTTGAAATATGAATAGTTGTAACTCTCAGGAATCAAGAGCCCACATGTCTCAGAGTCTACTTAACATTCCAGAATTCCTGAATAGTTTCATGGGTTTTTGTTTGTTTGTTTTTGTTCAGTCTTTTCCTTTGGGCTTTATTCAGAGCAATAAAGACGTTGCCAGGACATTGGTACTCGGTGTATGTGTATGTATATTTAATGTGAAGATACTCTAATATCATTTCATAAACATGGTTTGTTTTTACAGGCATGAGGAGTACAAAGGGGCAAATTTTTTTAATGACCTCACCCTTTATCAGAGAGACCTGAGTTTAAATGTAGACCTCTAAGTTACCATGATGGTGATTCTCATTTGACTTCTTTGGGATATGGTATATTTCTGGCTCATTTCAACAAGATCCACTGAGGATTAACCCAGACATGATGTTTCTTGATAAGATATGGCAGAGATATCTGCTGATCTCTACAGAGGAGGATAGGAATGATACGCTTAATCTTTGATATTTTGCAACAGCAGTGGTGCCTGTGTCAATCTGCCTATGCCATTTAGCTATTTCAACCTCTGATTTTTTTTTTAATGCATGGTTCCAAGTTTTTGAAAGATGGGAAAAATACTTAGTTCTCTGAGCAGGATTCTAAAGTTTATACATTCCCACATATGAGCTCGTTTGATTTCCCCCTGACAGCTCCATGAGTTACTCAAGGCAGTTCTCGTGCTCCCTCTTCTGTAACTTGATTAACTAAGAGTCCAAGTGCCAGTGGAAATTGCCTCAGGCCATGCCATCATTCAGGATTGAAGCCTGGAAGAGAACTCAGGTTTTTCCTGTCCTGGCTTGGGAATATCCTCCAAGCATGACCAAGACATCTTGAATCTTGGGTTTGCTTTTTATTGTGTATGCATTGGTGTGGCCTATTACAAATAATTAACCTAAAGTTAAATGTCAAAGACTTGGGGCTGGAGGCACCACAGACAATGTTCCTGGGAAGGGGTTGGGACTTTAGACTAAGTCATGAGGAAGTTCATGGCCAGACAGTAGTTACTCTATGTAGAAGTGCTTCAGAATTGGAGCATGGCCTGAGCAAACAGTACAGCATTAGAGGCAGAAGTTTTAGAATAAAAGGTGAGTGTTATAGAAGCCAAGGGCCTCTGGATGAATGTGAGGGGCCCGGAGAGGCAGCTTGGGTTCTGACCATTGCTGCTAACTGATCCAAAGAAGGCGTAATTGGTGATAACAGTGGTAGGACTGCTTTTAGAAGAAGAGCTGGCTCTTACGAAAGTGAGAGTGGAGGGATCTCTTGTTGAGATGAGGAGGAGCTTTGACCATCAAGTTGCAAATTATCTTTGTTGTAAAATAACTTTGACTCTCCCTTTTAATTTTTTAAATTCTTGTCCTTCTATCTTTTAAAACATTTATTTATTTGAAAAGCAGAGTTTTAAAGAGAGAGGGAAAGAAAAAAAATCTTCCATCTGTTCACTCTCCAAATGGTCACACAGGCAGGCCTACACTAGGCTGAAGCCAGGAGACTAGAATTCCATCCTGATTTCTTACATGGGTGCAGAGTCCTAGGCACTCAGATCATCATGCACTGCTTTCTCAGGGGCTTTAGCAGGGAGCTGGACCAGAAGTGGTGTAGCCAGGACTTGAATTGGGGCTCATGTGGAGTGCTGCTATCCTAGGCAGTAGCTGAGCCACTGTGCCTCATTGCTGTTTCCTCATTCTTATCTTTCTTGTGACCTTTCAACAGCTCTCTTGGGACCCAAGATCTGAATCTAATCTCAATGCTTACCAATTTTGTGTATATAAGAGACAATTCCTGTATGATAGTGCTAATATAGAATTTGTGGCATTTTCTCCTCAGAGGAGCAAAGAAACAGCATCCTCAACTCCAGTTTGGAATCTGTCTCATCCAGCGCAAACAGTATCCTTAATTCCAGTAGCAGCCTGCAGCCCAACACAAACTCCAGCGACTTAGACCTGGACGTGGTCAAACCCACCCGACCCAACTCACTGTAAGTACAATGACCAGCTACCCACCACACAAGGACATGATCAGCCATTCCACCTCAAGTGTGCTGTCTGGCTGCATCTGCCTTTGAGCCACTGCCCCATGAACATGATTTAAAACCTTCTCCCTGAAATCGGAGCTTGGCTGTTTTGTTGTGAGTTTTTTGAGCATCATCATCTCCAAGGAGGGTCATTACTCTTAATGAACTGCTTCTGGGCCTTTATGATTTTGATTTACTGTTCTGCTCAAACATCTTTGGTAATAGCAACTGCCAATCTCACAAACAAGCAGTGATGGTAGAGGTTCAGTGGTCAGTTTCATGTATTCATGTTGTCTCAGTTTGCCTTCCCCCGCACTATGTCTGGGATGTTGAGTGCTGCATCCATTTCTGCTTCCATAAGCAAGATCCCCAGGTGGCCCTTCACATCTTTGTGTTCTCAAACCCTAGCAAGGCTGTGATCCCCTCAAGACAATGTGAAAGAGAAGAACGCTTTATGCATCATTTGGGCGTGGAGCTTCTGTAACCTCTACAGAAAGTTCAGGAACTGGTTGTCTAGAACCACGTGGAAACCAATCTGTGTGAGTTCCAGCCAGTTCTCTCTGTGGTTTCATTCTTAGCATGATTCTGCAGACACCGTGTTAATCTTGTCAAGTATAGTCTTCTGCAGAAAGAATGTGAGGTTCTGACAAAACAGCTGGGCTCTCTAGCTGCAGCTGTATGACTCCAGTGAAAATAGTTTGAGAGTTACCACAGGCCATCATCAGACAGTTCATGCTTGATGAAACATTCAGCATGAGGGGGAGCTTCCAGGACGTCAGCTACCTTTTCCTGCCACTCTGCAGGTTTGATTGCACACTAGCCCCCTGCCCTTCTATCATGATAAAATACTTGCAGAGCTACAAAATGAGCTCAAGGATTTTTGCCTTGGAAGAGAGTAAGAGATAGTAAGCACTGGCAGGAAACTAGCCTTAAGTGTCATTTACAAAGAGAATACAAGTAAAGACAATGGTGAAATCTGAAATTGAGACAATCGAGTCTCTGAATTTGATGGCTTTAAAGCATACTAGCATTCAGGGAGTTGAATTATTTGCTTATTATTTGATAGATAGTGCATGTGTGTTCTAAGACCAGCATGGACTAGCAGCCCAAGAACTTCAAGTCATTGAGTGAGTCTCCTGGTTCTTCAGGGTGGACCTGCCATGGCATCACCCTGCCTTGCTATGCCTAACTCTTCTTAATCTGCTTCCTTAGACTTCGTGGGCATCTCTGTAGATGGCAGTGGCTGAAATCGTATTAACACGAGTGAGGTTGCTCAGTGTCTCCTGATGCAAGACAGCCACCTTCACCAGTAGTCTTTCGATCTTTGTTTTCAGTGGCTGATAGCTGTGAGTCTCTGAGTCGACAATGAGTACACAGAGGTCACTTAGGGATTCCTAGATAGCGAAGAGGAAAAGGGGAGGAGGATTGCTTTGTAAACAGGTCCTGGGAAAAGGGACTTAGGATTTTTTGTTTTGTAGAAATCTGGAGGTGCCTTGTTTAGTGACTCACACTGAGAGATTACTCTACACACTTCACACCTTACAGGGGAACTGTATCCTGCCTAGGCTAGGTTAGGGAACCCACAGACACAGGAGAGAATGATGAGAACAAGTGCACCTGTTTGCCTTTGGAGGAGGATTGGAGATTCTGGTGTGGGTGCTTTAACAATGGGGCTGTGGTTCCCAAACTCAGAGGGTCTTTGACTGATGTCCCTGCATCTGCAGGTTGGCAAAGTGCACTGCCAGCCCGGCACCTGCGGCTGCCACAGTCCTGAGTCCCAAAGGATCTATTCTCATTCCTATGGTGGTGTGCTGCTAGTCTCCATTTCCTGTCTCCGTCTGTTTTTCTGCCTAGAACATGGAAACTTGGCAATCTGGGCAAATGGAAGCCTGGAACTTTTGTCTGACTCAGTTGACTCTGAGCAGTCAGTCTGCTCATTTTGCTGTGGTGATTAGTGTCAGTCACAACGCGGACCGTGTGGGTGTCGGTGTCGGTGCTGACTACTGTGATTCCTCCATCACTGTGCAGTGTGAAATGGGGATTCTTCACTGAATGGGAATACTTGATTCAGATGGAAGCAAAGGCAGGGCAAGGATGAGTGTTAGCTTATTTGGGCATGTTAGGAAACCAGTCAGCAGGAGCTCTTTGCTCTTTGCTCTTTCCATTTCATTTATTTTTGTACTCTTTTTCATAACGACTAGAATAAACATTGTACCTGTGTAGAAATGGTAATGAAAGAAACACATCTGCTACTCTTGATAGTGTGATGCCTCTGGCAATACATTCAGCTCTATCATTGTTTTGACCACTGAGGAGATTATGACCGTGATGCTTACATTAGTGTATCGCTAAACCAGACATAAAAATTGCAGGTGCCACCCTTCTACTCATGCTAGGTTGAAGCTGCTGGGTTTGGGCTTGATGTAGCCATTTGCTTTGTAGATCAGTTGACTTGTATTTGATAAGCCAATGCCAGATCCCAAGTAGCCTGAAATTATCAACAAGGATTGCTGGAGCTATTATGTGCCCAGATTTGTCCTAAGTTAGCTGGTATAAACTAGAGAAAGAGAATCTCTGTTCTCCCCTAGAACTTACAGGCAAGTTGAGGAAGGAAGGAAGGAAGTTATCAATGGCATGCTAAGTAGGACTGACTGCTTCTGTGTGTTTAGAGTCTCACAACCACTGAGTATTTAGTGAGCAAATTCAACAGGTTTGGAGGATTGGGGAAGGTAAGGTTTCTGAAATGTGGCCAGGGGAAGAGTGTTACAGATAAGGGGTGGGTGTGGGAGGCAGACAATTCAGGATGGATAGGCAGGCAATTCAGGATGGATAAATGTACCCTAACGATGTGTGTGTTAAGGAAGAGAGAGTTCTAGTATCTCCCTTATCCCTATTACTAGGGAAATAAAAAGAAAAGCAAACTGGAGCCCCCCTTGGATCAGGAGTCTGCACATAAAAATCCAAGTTCTGTGCTGGAACAACTAGGCATCTACATGCAGAAAAACTGACCTTAAAAATGAACTCCAAGTAGGTCATGGGTCTTAAGTAGAATGCAACAGCTGCTAGAAGGTAATGTAGAGGAAAACCTTGGTGGCCTTTGCTGTAGCAGTGACTTTTAGATGCAGTGTCCAAAGGCATAGCCTGGCGGGGCGTGGGGGCGGGGGAGGGAAGCTTACATAAATTAGAAACATCTGCCCTGCAAAAAACACTATTAAGATCATGAAAAAGCAAGCCATAGACTAGGAGAAAATATTTGCAAAACAGATAAGAGAGCCCCAATAATCCAAAATATGAAAAGAACTCTTAAAACTCACAAGAAGAAATAAATCTGTGTAAAATTGTAAACTGAAGTCATCAGTTGTTCACCAAGGAAGATACACAGCTGGGAAATACACAGGTACATGTGTTCCACCTTCACATGTCACCAGGGAAACCCAAAGTAAAACAAACCTGAGTACTGCTGCACTCCTGTTAGAATGTCCACAACCCCCGAAACCCTGGTGGCTGCAATGCTGGCAAGGCTTTGGAGCAGCAGCAACTCTCAGTCATTGCTGGCAAGAATGCAGAGTGGTGCAGCCCCCTTGCAGAACAGCTGTTGGCTTCTTACAACCCTAGAGGTATTCTCCAACCATAAACTCCAATAAACATGCTCTTTTTAACCCAAGTGAGTGAAAAACTAAAGTCTACACAAAGCCTACACAGAATTTTTTAGCAATGCTATTCATACTTTGAGCCAACCAATTCATCTGTTACTAGATATCAATAGATAAACTGTGGTGTCTGTGTATGTGTATATATATTTATGCTTCTATCTATATATTTGTATTTATATCTATACACACACCTCAAGATAATAAAAAATTATTCAATGGTAAAAAGGAATTACCAGAACATATGTTTGGCATTGGGTTTTAGATGCTGCTTATAATGCCAACATCTTGTAGTTGAATCTGAGTTCCCACTTCACTCTGCATGTCAGCTTCCTGCTGGTGTGCACTCCGGGAGGCAGCAGGTGTTGGCTCAAGCAGTTGCATCCTTACACCCTTGAATTGGCACAGATGGAGGTGGGAGCTCCTGGCTTCAGCCTGGGCAGCCCTGCTAGTGAGAGGATCTGAGGATTAAAATGATAAATTGATGAACTCTTTCTCTGTCATGACTAAAGTAATTTTTTTTTAAAGAAAAATTTCAAAACAAATGATCAAGCATCAAGAACACATGAATGAATCTCAAATATGTATTTTTGGTAAAAGAAGTCAGCCTGAAATACAGTACCAAGAATATAACTTTCTGGAAAATACAAAACTGTGGAGTCAGCGAAAAGATGACTGGTTCCCAGGAGGGAGGAGGCTTGAACAGACAGATTTTTAGACAGTGAAACTATTCTGTGTGATATTTTTGTGATGGTTACAGAATATTATATATTTGTCAAAACTCATAGAACATAGAGTGAATATTATTGTAAGCCATAGTCTTTTGTCAATAATGAATTAGTATTGGACCCAGTGCGATAGCCTAGCAGCTAAAGTCTTTGTCTTGCACACGCCTGGATCCCATATGGGAACTGGTTCTAATCCCGGTGGCCCTGCTCCTTGGGACCCTGTACCCACATGGGAGACCCAGAAGAAGCTCCTGGCTCCTGGCTTTGGATTGACTCAGCTTCAGCTGTTGTAACCACTTAGGGAGTGATTCAGCAGACGGAAGACTTTCCTCTATCACTCTCTCTGTATATCTGACTTTCCAATAAAAATTAAATATATCTTTAAAAAATCATGGGTTAGTTATGACTCATCCGTTTTAAGAAATGTAGTGCACAAATTCCAGATATTGGAGAAATATACGAGACTGAAATAGAAGAGGTATGTGGAAATTGTTATTTTGTGTAACTTTTTTATAAACCTAAAAGTAGAAAAAATATTTTAATATAAGTTTTTACTATCTGATTATCATCTTTAGAAATTAGATTT